TGAACAACCCATGATTCCAAATAATCTAATAAAATGAATGAACAAACCCAAGATTCCGATAATGAATAAAACAAATATGTAAAACAAATAATTTGAACAAATAAAGCGAATTAAATTTTTAATTCAAATAAAACTTTTTAATTCAAATAAATTTTTTAATTCAAATGAATTTTTTTAATTTGAATTTTTTTAATTCAAATAAAGCAAGACAAGAGTTAATTATTCCTACTAAAAATGATAATAAGGATAATACTAATATTCCACCAACTCTCATAATACCATTAATAATTTTCTCCATAATTAGTAATATATTCTTCTGGAGGTGAGTTAAAAGAAAAAGGTCAAAAACTCAGTAATATTAAGGATTAAAGACTGATTTGTTAATCACTTCTCTCTTTAATTGTGATGTTCTATTTTGGCTCATTCTTCTTCATTTTTTTAATTCAAATTAAAGGTCAACTGTATTATGAATAATTCAAATAAGAATTTGTATTATGAATGGAAGCCTACTAACTGCTGGCAATTCTCATGATGAAAATTTGGGTGATACAGAAATAAAAATGGTAAATCAGTGCCTACAAATTCCAATGGTGGCTATTGGAATGAATGAAAAATTGTATCCATATATTCAGCAAATAGAAAATGGTGAGGATGATGAAAACGCAAGCCAGAAGCTATTAGTACTTTTGCAAAAATTGCTTGTTTCATGGCCAGATCCTGCTGAATTGCATGTCTCACAGAAGAAAAGAAAATATATGCAACAAATGTATCCTATAATATATCCTAATACAACTAATGTTTTAACAGAAGACAATGATTCTTCTAATAAACATGTAAAGTGAGTACAGACAAATGAGCATATAAGATTATGTATTCAGTTGGGTAAAGTTGATATTATTTCAAACACAGTGATTCAGATCAAGATGTTAATTTATTAATTGGTGAAATTTGCTTTTTAATCTAAAAATTAAAAAAATATTTGAATTATTTTCATGCACAAAATTCTAATAATTTACATATGGATGTACATATACAATAATGATAAAACAAAATAAACAAACATAGAAAATAAACTATTTTATTTTTAAAATAAATGTGATGATCCTGCAATGTTTTAATTATTTGTAAATGTCCAAATGATGTAATTTCTTATCAATTATCTTTAAACAACAATATTTTTTGGTGAGTCAATCAAAAAACCTACAAAGTGAACATAAAATTATATATTAAGATACAGGGATAAGTGTATATGTAAAGTAATAATAATTATAATGGCTCTAATGAATATGAAAAAGCAATTGATTTTTTAGAAAAAGGTTGTAAATGTGGCTGCTCTTCCAGAATTCCCAAAGAAGTATTTGCAGAATTAAGAGAATCCTTTCAAGCTCTTTCTAAGACTGAACAAGACATATTTTTAATGGCACAAATTAAAGCAATGGATGGTGGTTCAATAAATGCTAGTAGACGTTTTAAGAAGAAAACTAGATCTAATAAAAGAACTTTCTATCACTGAGATCACAATACACCCCTTTGTCAAGAAACTTATTTTAATATGTTAGGGATTGGTAGAACTTATTTTGAAAATATCAG